ATAATAATAAATAGTATAATGTTATATTGTGATATAATGTATATCAAAATTCTATTGAGTCAAACTCTGGTTTCTGGCGATTTCTACATATTGCCTTTAAGCTGGAACCGAAAATTTTTATTGTTGTCGACTCCTTCCGTATCTTTCATCTTTATTGAATTATAAAGCAATCCTTCGAATTTTCTGATCTATTCATTCCCCATGTAATATTCATTTCTCAGTTCCCTTAGAGAATCTTAATTTCATAGTCCCTCCAGAACAACCGATCCAATTTATACAAATTAAAGTAATTAAAATCAATGTCAATGGACTATTATTATGTGTCGCGCTCATTTCATGTCTTATGCATTTAGTTTAATTATGTTTAATATATTCCCATAAGTACTCTTTATTAACTTAATACAATACCAGATTTCTGCGACATAGATTGTTTGACGGGCCAAACTTTTTCTAATTTTCTTTCACTATTTCGCATTTTGCTTTTGTGGATTTTGACATCTCTTTATTTTATGTATATTGAAATTCATCCGTTATAATTACATTCTAAAGAAAAAAGTCAATCTCCATCACATATGTATGCATATCAGTTTGTTCACCTTGCATTCTAATTGTATGATTTTTATTGTATATTTCTGCTGCTTTTAGAACGTCAATTGCTACTCGCTTCTCTTCGTGCACAGACTAGTGTAAGAAACCTGTCCAGATGACCTAAATAGTCATCCCATTCTCATCACTAAACATCTCATTCAGTAACTCCCGATACTACTTTCAGCATCCGATATATTTCTCTCTCTCTCTCACACACTCTCTGACAAACATATTTGGATTTAGACAATCCAGCACTGAGCAGCCCAGAGACAGATTCCCTCGGATAATACTTATTGTTTAACATAATCATATATATAGATGGCATGTAGATGTATGTAGAAATAATACATATTACTGAATGGATACAAATATATGTACGGGTATAATAATAAAGATAAGGGATCCGACGATATTACGTCAAAGCTTTCGCTCTTATTTTCTCAAAGAAATATGAATATAAATCCCATAATCACAAAAATCGTTCGTTCAATATTATATATACCAATGCATAAACTTAATAAATTGTCTATAATTGATAGCAATATTTCTTTAATGTTCAATAGTTCACATAATAGATAAAATGTAAATACATAAATATACCTCTAATTATATGTCAAATAATTAATTGGCAAAAACAAATCTGAAAATTCGAAGAAAAAAATACAATTTATGCGCTATTTGCCAAATATACAAAAAAAAAAAAAAAAAATGTTTAGGAAAAAAAAAAAGGCAAAAAAAAAAAAAAAAAAAAAAAAAAAAAAAAAAAACTGCCAAGGCAGCAGAGGAGGAAAACTAATAAAAACAACACGAGCAAATCTCAAGAGAGATAAGCTTAGGGCCGCTGCCCAATGATCTTATGTGAATCATGTGCGACCTTGAAATGGAATATCCAAAATTAAATATTGAATACAAAGGCAAAACACTAAAAGGCAATTTTGACAATCGGGAATCGGCAATTGAAGTGCGACGCACAGAGGCCATTCATCATGGGGCATTTTGGTCGCTTTCTTCGGCTGCGTCTGTGGCATGCAACCCGTTTTCCATTTGTCATTTCAGCCGGGCCTGGACGCTGCGCTGATTGCATGACATGAGCACATCAGACAGCCCGGCTGCCCGGCTGGAATCATAATTATTTATATTAATCTGTCGGGTCACCAGCGGCGCGACTTAAGTGAAAGTAAACTTGGCGCCCAGCTCCAACTCCGACTGCGACTCCAAGTGCAAGTCCAAGTGGAAGCCAAAGTTGCAGTTGCAAGTCTGTCGCAGGCCTGTTGCACAATCAACTGCGCTTATATTTCTTCTTCGATACGAATATTTTTTATTTTTAATATTTTTTTTTTTTGTTTTCAAATAAATTTTCCAGCCTTAGCCACATGTGGCCGGGGAACGCAGGAGGCGGACAGTCAGCCAGCTGGCTACGCTGGCTCCGCCCCGCCTGCACTTTTTCATTTTTGACTCGTAAACAAATTGTTCAGCTCTCTGGGCCTACTGTGAAATATTGTAGCACTATTTGAAAAAATGACGCAAGCTTGTTAGAAAAACAAATTCAAATGCTTTCGCTGCCTACAATTGAGGAAGGGTCAAAAGGCAATAAAAGGTTAGATTCAGTATAAAAGAAGGAAGTTAAAGAAAAGACTCATCTATTGAAAAATTAAATATATTTAATAAGTTTCTTTTCATACCCATTGGAAATGTGAAAATGCATGTGACAGGCAAAAGTAGGCGTAGAATTCTATACGGTCCGTCCCGTTAGGGCTTTTAGATGTAAATTTAGAAGTACCATTATCTCATTCCTCATTTATAGATAATTAAAGTACTTTCAGAGTTAAAACGATTTTTCAATTTTTAAATTTTGGTTACCATGCTCCTTCAGTCCAAGTTTGAAAAAAGACAATAATTTCAAATTCTAAAGATTGTGAGACTCAAGGTTCAAGATATCTCCGAGTCCCAGCAAGTGCAAGAATTTTAAGTTAGGTCAGCACCAAATTGCTGATCTGCAGCCCTGTTTTCGGCTCTTTCCACTTGCCTTCTGTTTATTTTGACTCTTTGTGGATACATAATTCACGGTCATTTCACACACACTTGAACTCGGGTGCAAATTCCCAACAACAAAAGCAAAGCAAAAAAAAAAAAAAAAAATCCCACATAAAATTTTGTATGCAAAAATGCGTAAAGTAAATAAATTCACACCCGATTTACGTAACTCACATTAACTGCAGGCAGAGCAGGCGAGAAGTGTCAAAATAATTGTCGCCGACAGAAATCGACGCAATGCATCAAAAACATCATCGTAAAACCACCTTCGAAAACATTAAAAGCATACGCGAATCAAGTGTATATCGACTTAGTTCAAGTTCGCACGAAAATTAATGACTTTTTACGCGTTTCTCATTTTGCTTTTGTTTTTTGTTTGTTTTTCTCTTTTTTGGTTTTTACCGCGTTTACAAGTTCACATATGAAAGTCATGGTTAAGATGAGGGAGAGATTAAAGTTTATGCAAATCTTTTGCTAAACATTATAATTGTTAAGAAGATGATTTTGATTAATGAAAGTTCGACTAAAAACAACTGTGTTTGTGAGTGTTTGTGTGTGTGTGTGTAAATTATAATTATGGTAACAAATTGGAATGAATTGGAAGTAAATATTCATAATAGTGCCAAGAGAAATTCTACACATTAAAATAATAATTTATGCTCGCTCACGAATTGAATAAAGCATATTGGGTTTGAGTAATATTTTGTTGTTATATTTTGATGTATGTAATATTTATGTGAAGACTATATATAGATATTTCATAAGTGGAAATTAATTAATTAAGTTATAAATCCAATAAGCTAATCCATCCTAGACCCACAACGTTTTCCAATAAGCCATTGCTTATTTCATTGCTCTGATAATATTTTTAGAATTTTTAAACCCAAAACTCTAAATATATAAGATATTTATTATACATTTGCATACCATTGCAAATGGGGAATGGTATTGTAAAAATGTATGTAACACGACGTGACAAATCCCATAAATTATATGTGTTCTTGACCAGGGAGATGTAGTCCTGCCGTCTGCCTGTCGTCTGTCCCATCGTTTCAGAAAATCGATAATTATCGACTAATTATATATGAGTGTGGATGTTCGTATGTATTATTTCTGGTGTATGCAGAACGGAAGCAAAGATTCATTAGAATTTCAGCTCGTAGGGTTAATGGGATCTCTGCGTTGAGCAGTTTCCACTCGAGTTTTCTTACCTATTTATATTTTATTCCTGTATGATCTTCATTGCATTTTTGTTTCGACATTTTTCCGACATTTTCATTGTTCA